CGTCGATTCATGATTTATATGTTATTTGTGGCATTTTGAGCCTTTGGATAAGTTTGGTTAAGGTATTGGGACTAGTTGGCGAGATTAAACGGGGTCATAGGGGGTCTCGGGTGAGTTCCAGGGTGGTTCCGGATAATTTCTCCATGTTTTGCTGCAGCTGTTGCTGGTTCTGGTGTTGTTCATCATGAACGTGTAGGTGTTATCGCGTTCGTGAAGTGGGATTTTTGTGCTTCATGTTCGCTACTAGGGGCACACGTTCGTGAAGGTTTGAGGAGCAAAGCAACGCATTCGCGATTGGGGCATCACGTTCTCGAAGGGGAACTGGTCATGGGAGATTTTATCCTTCGCGATCGTGGAAGGTACACCGCATTCACGAATGTTCGCCTGGTAAAGCATCGCATTCACGATATTTGACTCACGTTCGTGAAGAACAGTTTTGGAGCTGGAGCTGGTACTGTTTCGCGAACGCGAGGGACTTTCCGCGTTCGCGAATAAGGTCGGACTAGGCAGTGTTGTTTTAAAATTGGGGGTTTGGTTTATTTTCACTTCATTTCTTCCATGGGAGCCAATTTTAGAGCGATTTTGGAGTGCCATTTTTATCATCTATTATGGGGTAAGTGATTTCTACACATTGTGAGCTAAAAATATGAATTTAGGCTTGCAAATCTAAGAATTTAAGTGAAAAATGTGAGATTCTTGATAGGAGCCCTAGAATTTATAATTTCGAGTTTTGACCATGAAATTGAGCATGGAATTACGAAAAAATTATATATTTGAGTTCGTGGTGTTATGGGTAATGTTTATCTTTGAAAATATTCGGAATCCGAGCACGTGGACCCGAGGGTTGACTTTGTTGACTTTTCGAGCGGATTTGGGAATTGTTATAAATTGATTAATTACGAGTATTGGAGTATATTTTTATTGATTTTCATGATTGTTTGACTAGTTTCGGATCGATGGGTGTTGGTTGAGGTGCCAGAGAGGTATTGGAGCCGGTTATAGAACTTCGAAGTGAGGTAAGTCTTCTGTCTAACCTTGTGATGGGAAATTTACCCCGTAGGTGTTATACTTATTACATGTTACATTTAATGGGAGCTACACACGTATGAAGTGACGAGTGTCCGTACGTATGCTAGAGTTCCTGATTATGTTCGGGTAGACTTAGATTCACGTCATGCTTTAATTGTACTAATTGAGTTATTCTTGCCTGTTTAATTACTTTATTTCGCGTTATGACTTGAGACTAGACTCACGTAGAGTAATGGACTCGCTATTTTAGATATTGGACAAGCTACTTGACAAGTTGTGCAAAATTGTGCTTCCCTTACGAATTTCTTCCTCGTTGTGCGTACCCATCGAAATGTTTCCTTAAACTTCATAACTCACACGTATATCCGTGAGTGGGGTGAAAGACCCGTAAACGCTTCACACTCTTATGGGATCGGGTCATTCGTCTCGTCAGAATATTGTAACACACTCTTATGGGATCAGGCCGTTCGCCTCTGCAGGATATTGTAACACACTCTTATGGAATCGGGACGTTCGCCTCGGTATTTCTATAAACTACTCTTATGGGATCGGGCCACTCACCTCGGCAGAATCATGCGAAATACTAGATAAGAAGTCCGCGTACTCATGAATTTTCCAAACTTGAGAGGTCACCATTGATTTGGTGTTGACCATTACGAGATGTATCCAATATTTGAGGACTTTGTGTTCACGGTTCAGCTGAAGACCGTATTATTTTCCTATACATGTAATCATTGTTACCTAACATTTTTCATATTTGCCTACTTTATTATATTTGATTTGTTGGACCACTAGTAATGTTAATATCGACCCCTCGTCACTACCTATTTGGAGTTAGGGTAGATACTTACTGGGTACACGTTGATTTACGTACTCATGCTGCACTTCTGCACTAAATGTGCAGAATTTGACAGGATTATTTGGGGGTCACTTAGGCGCAGAGGCGCAGCTGCTAAGGGGACTCTATGGTGAGCTGTATTCCATGCCACGATTTGCAACACACAGAGTTTCCATCATAATTATTTACTTTATCATGTCTACTTTGTATTCCAGACAGATGATGTATTGTTATTGTATTTTCTAGTAAATACTCATGCACTTGTGATACCGCATTTTGGGAGTATTCTAGAATTTGCTTATGGTTCGCTTTATATTGACGCACTTTCACTTTATATTTTAATTAAATTGTACGTACCTACTATTTTTCTTGCATTGATCTCTTCATCTAATAAGATTCATGATTTTAAAAATAATAAAATAAATAATTAAACTGATACTTCACCGTTGGCTTGCCTAACAACGACGCTGGGTGCCATCACGACCTATAGTGAGTTTTGGGTCGTGACAAAAAAAATGAAAAGCCCTCACTTTATTGATGAGACATTTTGATCCCCTTTTCCTCTCATCCTCCCCTAGTTCTGGTTCAGGAAAGGGTCAACGTAAGGATCTTATTTCAAAACAATCTCTGGAGTCTTCCTTTATCCGAACGGGTCTTGCAAGAAAATAGGATTTCATATTGAGCTCCACTGCCATTAGAGTGTTTGGGTGGGGGGTTGGGGGTAGGGGTGTCAAAAGTTTGGTTCCGCTAGTAATTTAAAAAAAATTACATCATACTATTTTTTGGTTAATGTATTTTATATAACCAAAATTATACTTTTAAAAACCATCCCAATCATTTCGGTTTTTCTTTGATATCGGTAATTTTTATTTTTTAAATATCATATGAGAGGCGCTAGTAGAATGTAACAATATGTTGACTTGTATAGAACTTAGGCGAAACTCTATTACACATAGAACTTAGGTGAAACTCTCTTACAAATTTTTACTTTTGAAATAACTAGTCTCTATGTACGTGCCTCACACGTATAACAATAAGCGCACCTAATACTTAACATAAGATATGTGAATAAACTTGTTATCGGAAAAGAATTAATCTCATATAATTTATGATATTAAAAATGCTACTTCGGCTGGGTTTGACATTCACATAATGGACAAGGGTCGACAGAAAATTCGAAATTCCAACACCTTTAATATATATTCGTTTGTTTGTTGTCAACTATCAATCTAAAATTGAGTTTTTTTTTAATAATAAAGCAAATATGATAGTAGAAATCTTGTTCAGACTTTGCGAGTGTTTCATAATGGCAAGAGATATATTGAAAAACTCCTAAAGTCTTGGACAACTGTTATAAATATATGGTTGATTATGCACTTGAGGTAGATTAATAAAGTAGGATACTTTCATTAAGCTTATGAATTCTTGTGTTAATTAATTTGAGTCATTTAGCTGATAATTCACCATTGTTTAACTATATTATGTGGACTAAGTATGTGCAACTTCACTTTAAAGAATTCGATGTCTAGTTTACCTGAGTGTTCAAAATACTATATAGCCCTAATGAATTACGGTTTTATTCAACACGAAATTATCTCTTTGAAAAATAATTTAAGTTTAATGCCCATGAATTTTAATTTCTTCCACGTTATCTAGTTTTGATTGTGCGTTGCAAATGTGATCCTCTGGTCCTTCCTTTGATATGCAGTTATGTTAGTTTATAATTATTAATACAATTATCTTATTTATAAAAATAAAAATTTATTAATGTCCGAAACGTGAAAAAATGGCCTAAAATTAGATTTCTAAAAACATAAAACCAAACACAAAGTCGTTTGAGTACGTTGGATTGGAAATAAAATACCGTAAAAAAACATAAAAATTCTCTTGAATAACAGTCTGTTGTTAGTTTCGGATACCAAAAGAAAAATACTTTAAGAAAATAAAGTTAAGCTAACTTTTATTTTTCAAGTGGAGTTCAATACGAAAACTAACAGTTTTTCTTCAAATTTTAAACTAATTATTTTAATTTTAGTTAAAGCTATCAAAACGGGTCAGCCTAACCCAAGCCCGTGAGCTTTTAAATTTGGTGGGCTAGGACGGGCCGACTATGAATGGGCCTTAAAATGACCAATCCAACCCAGTCCTAAGAGGGCTGCGGGCTAGCGGGCCGGCCCTTCAATTTATTATTAGATAAAAGAATTTCTTTAAATCCTTAAATATTTTTTGGCATGGTCGCTTAATCATGTAAACAACTTCTGTTTGCTTTGAGCGAACAAAAGCTTGATATTTGATGAGGAATATCGTAATTGAAATGCAAATTCTCTGTATCTCTAGCTCTTCCTTCTTAAAGTTACATGAATATTTTCTTAATACTTTTCTTTCATTTTTTTCAGATTCAGGGATTGTTTCAGTAAGTTTATATGCTGAGATTTTTTAATTTAGGATTAACATCATTTGCTAATTTTATCATTATAGTTAATAAATTTTTAAAATTCCTGAAATTTGCTAGTGGTCAATTTTTTTGTGTATTTAAAATTAATTTTTATCTATACTGAAGAGCAATTTAAATATTAATAATATATTAAAGTAATCCAACCTGATCATTGGCCACTTAAAATAATATTTTTTTTTGAAAAAAGATTATTATTGGTCACCTAAAACTTTTCGAGTTCGTTATTAATTACGTAAAAAACACTAATTTTGTTATATTACATGGCAAAAATTGTTTAACCAAGTAATTTTACTTTGTTTTGTAACTAAAAGGTAATTTTATTTTGCTCATTGTAACTGAAAAGTCACTCTATGCTTTCAAGAAATATTTTCAATTATTTTTACTATATATATATGATATTTTTCTTTTCAACCCAACCATTTAAACAATTAAAAGCAACCATTAAAATTATTTTTACGATCCGCTCCATGACACCAACAAGAATTTCACCCCTCCCCCCTCCCCCCAAACTAGAATTTCAAACTTCTAAAATTAAAGTACTATGGTATTGTTGGTGAAGAAGAACAATGCAGCATAAATAAACTAAAAAAAAAGAAGCTATTTTCACAATAAAATAAAAAAATGAGGACAATATATAAAGACCACTCCTTATGGGGACCGGTGCAATTTTGTGCTAACTAATAGAATAGCTTTGGGCCCATTTACTTTTGAACCCAAATAGCAAAAGGGAGACAGCCCATAATATTCGGCCCATGTGACTACCGAGCCCTCAGTCTTTTCACCTTCTAAGCTTTCTACTGCTCACATTCAGCAAAAAAGCGTTCAGTGTAGCGATGCTACGAACCAGCGGGACCATCGCCGGCGTTAACTCCGGTCTCCGACGATTTCTTCACATCACGGCCCGACCTTCGCCTCTAGATAGCGTGGTTAATCAGCCGACGGCTACATCACCGTCGTTGGTTTTGCCTGAAAATGATAATAAGAACAACAGTAACAGTAACATAGGATATATGTTTCCAAATTCACCTGTCATTGGTGGGTCCATGGAGCTTATGGCTGTTCCTAAAAAGAAGGTTCGATTTTTTTCCTTTTACATTTGGCACCAAGATGAATTTCTTATAATAATAAAAAATCTGAATTTAACTCGGCCAATGTGAGTTTCGTGAAGTGTTTCCCTATGAGATATTGTGGTATTTTGTTTTGTGGCTCTGAAATCCTTGCATATCATGCTCGTTTGGCAGATTAGGTTCACTATGTACTCATTCTATCCATTGTTTCACGTGTATTTGTCATTGACCGGTCATTTTGGTTCCGTAGA